GGTCGGGGACGAGGCGCTCATGAAATATCATACCGTGTGTCGCCCCATCGGCGGACCTTCGTTGTGTCCGTCCTACTTCCCTCAGGAACACTTTCCAGCATCGCGTCCCCCTTTTTGTCTACGTTGAGCACTACATTATTGTTAGGTCCCGTTACTCATTTCGTGCGCTGCAGCTCAAATCGTGAAAGGAGGTGTGTGTATGCATGTGTGTGTTTTGTTGAATTAGCATCAACCTACGCCAAAAATAGCTGGCTGACCAATGAATAGTCTAAACGTCAGGCTTATTCGGGATAAAAAAGGGCTATCACTTGTGTGTTGTGTGACGTTGTCAAAGGTCGGTTGACGTTGTACAGAGGATTGAGACGTTGCTGCTTGTTACGGCTTTTGAGGGCGAAGAATCCGTTTGTAGATCGCGATTCACGCAACAGCTGTGTCGGTGAGCGGAGGACCGCTGTGGCTTTGAGCGTGTACTCGAGCGCGCGTTCAGACTCTACGAGTAAGACAAAACTCGCACAACCAGAGAACTCAAGAATCGTTAGCACGAACAAAACGCGTTGCTTGCGCTGCGCCTCGCTCGTACTCTCACATCTTACTAATAACCTTGTCGCACAGTAGTTTCTGTATTAATAATGCTTAGTGTTTTACTGGCCGTCAGTTCGTCTTGCGGAATGTTCACGTGATCTCGTCATTTGCTCGTCTGTTCGTTCTTCTACTCTCTCCGTGCACCCCGTCGAGGCCTTTTACCGCAACGCGTTCACCCTTGTCTCCTTCTCCAGCGCTCTGTCGTCTACCCCCACCCCCGCCCCCGTACAACACCATTTTCACGGCATCGATCCCCCCCCACATTGCTCGCTTACTCTTTGCGGCCTGCCTTCCCGCACACCATTCATCGACCCCCCTCCCCGCGCGTACCTTGTCCTCCAAGAGCTTGCGGGTGTACTCGTCGTGCCCCAAGATCTCCAGCGTGAAGAGCTTGGACCCGCTCGAGGGCATCTCGAAGGTCACCACCGTCCCGGGCAGGAAGTCGGTCGGCTTGAGCCAGCGGCTGAGCTGCCCGCCCAGCCCGATGGCGGCCTCGAGCAGGCCCCCGTCCATGGTTATTTTTTCAGACAAGCGGGTGCCCTCCTTCTGCTGACCCACAGCCGGGATGTACTTCTTGTACTTTCCTGCAAAATATAGGATGTGCATGTGCGCATGTAGTGAGTTCGTGGTAGCGAGGGGGGGGGGGGGT